CCACATGTTACCTGAAGAGAACAAAGAAAAAAAGACAGTGCTTAAATAATGCTTGGATATTAATAAATTACACAACCTAATCTTTTTAATTTAAGTGAGAGAAATCAAACTCAGAAACCTCTTTGGATTGCATATTAGAAAATTTTGGAGGTTGGACCTGAAGCCTCTAGTGATGGCATAAACAAACTTGTTCAAATTTACACAAGCCTAATTTGTTCAGAAAACAAATAAATATCGTCAGCATGTAGGCAAAGGTGGAATATTCAACAGGAATTTCATAACCAGACCTTTCACATTCTTATCAAAATGCAGGATTGAAGAGTAACTAAAAGTTAAAATTTGGAAATTCTAGATAAGAAAATTATCAACATTAATAATGAGAGGAATAGCAAAAAAATGTTGTGAATTTCATTGATACCTTGAATGTACAGAGATTTATCTACAAAGACCTCTACAGGGATACCAGTCTAATAATTTAACCTTCCTTCGTCTATTGTACTATCAACATTCAGAGGGATGTAAATATCATCTCTTTGCCAGATTATATCGCTTTGGCTGGAGTGCCTTTGACATTTCACGGAGCCTATTAGCTATCTCTGTGAATGATGGCCTGGCTTCTGGATCGGGTTCCCAACAATCTTCCATCAACTTTGTCCACTCAGGATTGCAATTTTCAGGAATGGGAGGTCTCAGACTGTTACTTAGAATTCCACCTGCATATCAAACCCAGAACAGAGAGTTCATCAAATTGTTAGCAAACGTATCACTTATAAAATGACAAGGGATAGAGGATGCAGATATATGAGAAAGAACCAAAAAGCCACTTTTTAATCAATGTCAATGATGCATTATGAATATCTAGGCAAGAAACCTAAAACCAGGAAATTAGGTTTTTAGGTTTCTTATCATTTACTTCTGCTTCAGATTTATTTGTTTTGGATCTCTATTTAGTAATACTTATTATAAGAAGTATATGACATTAGAAATTATCTTTAAATTTGGAAATATCTATAGAATTTGAGATCTTTTACAACTTTAGTAGGATTATGGTGGTGTGTCTAGATATTGTGTTTGGTATTTTTTTGTCATTAATCACAGAGTTGAATTATGTTTTTGAATTTAGGATCTTGTGTGTGTCTGTAGGCATAGGAAGTTCCTTGTGAGGATAACCGTTTCTCATTTTGCCCCATATTCTCTTCTTCTTCTACTCTCCAATGTCCCCCATCAGAGCAAAGCAAAGTCCCCGAGACCATGTCAGTAAAGAACCAAATTCTCTCCTCGTCATTGCTGTCTCAGGAGACCCCAGTCACTCTTCCATTACCGATCATATGTGCAAGAGAACTCTAGTTCTCTCTTTCGTTTTTGATGAAGAAGGCCCTGCCACCCCTTTGACGCAACCTATTGAACCCTAACTCAATCCTGCATTGACCCGAGCCTGACCCACTACACCCACAACCCAGATACCCATAACCTGCCCAGCTTTCATAAACTAAGCCCAATCCATCTAAACAAAACCCAATCCCAAACTCAAGTTCCTAATCAGTCCATTGAAAAACAAAATGGGGAGAAACAAGAGTTTCAACTTCCAATGCTCCATCAATTCGAGTTGAGAACAACCATTATCAATTGACACTACCTCTGACAGGCAGAACAGCTGAGTGTCTCAACTGACATGAATGGCTAAGATGCGAGAGCTGTTCAACAATCAGTTACTCAACTAGTCCTTCCATTTAAGGTTCCCAACCAAGCTTTTCTATCAAAGAATATTAAAAGACACTCCTCATCAAGAAGAAAACATGAAAATCAATGATGAGATCAAGAAAATCCAGAGTAGCTTATTAGGAAGCCTTCCTAGAAGCTTGGCCTGAATTTGATGGTGTAGATCTTATAGTGTGCACGATCCCTTTGGAATTTCTTTCTCCAAGGAATGAGAATTTCATGTAGCGTTTAATATGCTTCAATATAGAGTTCAGTCTTGTCATGCATGAGAACTAGCAAGTTGAGTTTCTTAATTCTGTGCCATTGCAAAACTTAAGGATGAGTTTCTTTTTGAAGAGGAGAGTGATGCAGAATGTATATCAAGGGAGGAAACCTAAAATTGGGAAATTAAGATTTCTTATTATTTAATCCTCAAATTTATTTGTTCTGGAATTTTTACGGCCCAAAGAAATTGAGTCATTAAAGGATTTCAATTTAGTAATGGTTATTATTGCGAATTGGAGAAGTAGAGAGAACCAAAATAAAGGAAAAATGCATTGGATAATTCTCAAATGCCTATGAAACATCTGATATATAAATATTACATAGTTTACAGAAAACAAAGCAACAACAACAGCTATGACTATACAATGAATGAAGCTATCTACCAACTAACTAATTCTAATTACACCCAATTAAACTTAAATACTAACAGTCTCCTTCAAGATGGAGCATATATGTTATATGCACCAAGCTTGCTATAGATGTAATTGACTCGAGGTCCTCTTGAGGGACTTAGAGGAGATATTTACTAATTGATAATTGGTTCCAATAAAACAGGTAACAATATCTCCTAAAGCAATTTCTTCTAGGCAAAATGGCAATCAATTTCAATGTGTTTTGTCCTTCCATGAAACATCATGTTATAGTCAATATAAAGGGTGGCTTGATTATCATAGATTAATTTGATCTGAACAACTTCGCCAAACCTCAACTCTTGGAAGAAGTGTTTGAACCAGATGAATTCACATGTTGCCACTACCATAGCACTATACCTTAATTTAGCACTTTATCTTGCCATTACATCCTGTTTTTTACTATTCCATGACACCAGATTTCCTCCAATGAGAACACAATTGCATCCCTTGTTTGTATACAATAACCCTTACCTGGTGCTTTCTTGATATATTCGAATCACAACATCCTAGTGACTATCACAAGGAGATTCAAGGAAGTGACTTACTACACTTACAACAAAAAATATGTTAGATTTTGTAATTATAAGATAGTTGAGTTTAACAATCAATCGCTGATATCTACCTAGATTTGTCAAAGGCTCCCCTTATCTTCACAGAAGTTTGACATTGGGATCTATAAGAGTATCCACAAGTTGAGAGTCTAGTAGACTTGTCTCCTCAAGAATATCCAATGCATATTTTTCTTAAGAAATAGCAACACCATCCTCAGATTGAGCAACACAATACCCAAAAAACGATGACGTTTACCCATATCCTTAGTTTGAAAGTGGCAAAAGAAGTGCTGCTTCAGCTAAGGAATACCATCATGATCACTACCAATGATTAATAAGTCATTCACAATTACAAGTTACATAGAAAGATCTAATGGTGAGTGATTAAAAATACTGAAGGATTAGCCTCACTTCATGACTTTCCAGATGCCTGAAATAATTTTTTAACATTTTTTTCCATCTTGCCTTAATTTCCTCATCTCTCACCAATACTTATGGGCCTTCATTGCTGATATATTTAATTTTAAATAAAATTATCTACTTTTCTTCTCTCTAAATTTATCAAGTTTATATATTATTCGTTTTCCCATCTTTTGTTTCTAACTTAGTATAAACATCATTTTATGCTCCCTTGTAGCTTTTTTGGCTTCCTTTGTAGCCCTCCAATTTTTATTTTTTTTTTTTGGGTTAAAGTTTCTTCATCTTCATATTTTGCCAAGTCTTATAACAAGCTTGTTTAGCTTTAATTACCTTTAAAACTCCTTGTTGCACCAACAAGTATCCTTGCCAAATGTCCCCTTTCTTTGGACTCTCCAAAAATGTCCTTTGCTACTCATTTTGCTCACTCGTTTCACTTATTCTACACTGGATTTCCATTATTGTCCAGATCCAAACGTCTTTCAACGATTTATCTTTAAAAAGCTTGACTGATTCCCCTTTCAAATTCCTATACCTAATTTTTGAAGCCCTTGTGTTTTCCTTTTCTATTCATGTGTCTCTTGATATATACATCTAAACCGATTAGCCTCCTTTTAAATCCAACGCACAGTATTAGGTTTTTAACAGAGTTTAAATTGTTTGAACAATGACTGCCAATGTCATTATAAATATCTAGTGGTCATGGTTTTTCTTTGATCATTTATGTTTTAGAAAAAAGTATGAGTAAATTCAGCATTTATTTACTTTGGGGGAGACAATGAAAAAGAACTGATGTTAATATAAATTACATACCAAGAAGTCCCCAAACTTTTTTCTACTTGGAACTGCCTTACAAGCACGATAAGTAAATTCCTCAGACTTGTTGATAGGAGTCTTGGTAAGGCTGATGAAACTACTAGATGCTGAGACAACAAAGTATGTGTAAATACAGTAACCAATTTTAACTTTGATCATGCCCTCACCGCACTACACATGGTAGCCTTACACCTGATATCTACAGATTTCTACAAGGTTCCAGCTCTTATGGGATGTTCTTGTAAAAAGAGCATATTTGAGGGGGGCGACATAACTCTCATTGTCAATAAGCCCATAAAAGTGTTGACTTTAAGAATGTACTCAGAGAAATGCTCTTGTTTATGGTTAAAATATTTTAAACTGTTTACACAATAAAGTCGAAAAGGATCATTCTATTACTAATGTGATTAATCATGTATTTCAAACCAAAATATTTTTATTCCTACAATATTATAAAATAATTCTCTTTTTGAAAGTAGTAATCCGAGTTGACAGTAAAAGTTAAGCTTTCTTCATAATGATGATTGTGATTGATAATCTAATATTTTTTCCCATTCTATAGCAATTTGATATTGTCAATTATATATCTTTTCTTAGCTTTATCTTTGGAATTTTATTACAGAGTTGAATGTAAGCTTTGTTTGGCATTTGAAATATAAATTTGTCTCTAACACTAAATATTACCCACTCATCATGACCAAACCTTTACTGAAAATAGTTGGTGGCATAAGAATGAGGATTAGAAGTCAACTGCTATCTGGGTTTGAGAATATGAAGGAGAAGTTAATGAATAAAATTTGGTTCAGGTAATACAATTACCTATAATAGCTCCACAATGCATGTCAGCATAGGGCTCCTCCCCAGTCAACATCTCCCAAATTGTGATGCCAAATGAGAATACGTCAACCTGTCACAACCCAGGGAACAAAGGAAATAAAAAATAGGATCAGTAATATTTCATTGTTTTTGACATTAATATTTTTCAAATCAAAACAAATCAAATCATATCCTTTTGAACTTAACCTTTTCAGACACTCGACTTCTGCTACCATTCAATAGCTCTGGTGCCATCCATGGAAGTGTGCCTCGCACACCTCCGGACACAAATGTATTCCGTTTAATTCTTGATAATCCAAAATCTCCAACCTGAAAATGTAGACAAAAATAATAAATTTGGATAATGAATGACCACAAAACTTCATCATTGAAAAGAATTAATTAGTTTCTAAATAGAGATCTACATCTGTTTGGATCTATTTCTGAAAACTTTTTTTTTTTTTTAAAAAAAAAACCAGAATTCAGAAAAATTTCCAGAAAACTTCCCCTTCTAAGAAAACAATAACTGTTGTTTTCAAAATGTTTAGAAAGAAACAATTTCACTCAAAATGAAAACAATATCATAACAGTAGAGTTTTCAACGTTAAAATCTTGAAAACACAGATAACAGTAGAAGTAGAAAACATAAAGCAGAAAACAGAAAACAAATCCAAAGAGGTCATCTTCTCAAAGTTCTTAATGTAACAAAATTTAGAGCTAGGTTGGAGGATAAATAAAATTCCTCTACGAATACCTTGCATATGGGCCGGTGGGGATCGCCTAAATTAACAAGCAAATTGTCACATTTCAAATCAAAATGAACGATATTTTTCAGATGCAAGTATTCCATGCCAAAAGCTGCATCCATTGCAAGTATGAGCTTTTTACGTTGATCGAGTGCTTTTCTGGAACAATCCCAAGGTTGCATTCCATTAAAAAATTTCCTGCAAGGAATAGGACAGGCAACTGAAATGGACAAGTTACTCACCTGTCCTTTTGTAATAGGACATGCCGTAGAGATCCATTTGACATGAATTCAGTGACTGTTGCTAGAGTTCCTCCAGGCCCATCAGGAACCACCCCATAGAACGCCACCACATTGGGATGATGAAGTTTTGACAGGATTTGGCCTCCCTCCAGAAGTCCTTTGTCTGATAAAAGAAACGAAATTGTACATCAGGTGTTAACTAATTAACATACATTTTTTTTTTTCCTTTCAGTTTTTCAATCTTGAAGTGCTGATCAGTGGTGTAAATTAAAGGCAGTTCACTTAGTAAAGAAAATCATTCCAAGCATAGCCAAGGAGGAGACTCCACAGAGACATTTTAACAAACATGTAAAGGACAAAATCCAAAAATTACAGAGAAAGAACTACCTCAACTACTTGAACCTAACCCAAAAGAGCATATCATCGATATTATTTAAGTGCAGAATTGCTCTCTGATTTCTCTTATTATTGTTATTACTTTCCTTCAGGCAGGTTACCCAGTGGGTTATAGGAATCTGCAGATCGGCTATTTTTGAATGAAGTAAACAAATTTACAATTAGATTGGCGGAGGTTACAAGAAAATTTGTGTGTTTTCTTTAGTTTAAGGGGAACCTACCAAATGCTCTTGTTCCGATGATCTCCCAGAGAAATAGCTCTTTTTGATTCTCTTGATGGCAACATCTGTTCCCCTCCACTTTCCATGATAAACAGTTCCAAAGGTACCAGATCCTAATTCCTGTAGATCTTCAAGATCTGCATTCTTTATGATCTGCACATCAGTGTCTGAGACACTTAGTTAAAATAGAAAATAAATTTTTTAGGCAAGTTTTTTTAACCCTTCTCTCAGAAAAAGGATAAACTAAAATATAAAAAAAAAAGAAAAGGAAAGAACAGAAAAACCTGACAACAAAATAGAAGGAAATAATTTATAGATTTTCTGTTAATGTAAATAACCCAACTTAATAAAAACTAACCCGAAGACCATATATTCTTTATGCCAATACAAATTATTTTTAACCTTCTTCATACCAAACCACAGCAGCCAACAACACCACCCTCCACCCCCCCCCCCCCCCCCCGCCCCGCCCCCAAAAAAAAAAAAACCCGGCGGGGAATTTTGGTGTTTCTGGAATAGCGTCAGTCTGCTTGAGCGATACTATCCGGACTAATGTCTTGCTGGTTAACTCGTTCAAAGTCTATTCACTGGACTAATTTATCATGAAACTGGAACTAAAAATTTAATAAAGTATCAAGGACTGAAGTTCTTTTTTCTTGAGATTTTGTTTCTTAACGACATAATATTTTGAATTCTAGAAAACGGTAATCAAAAAGAGCTTACTATGAAACATTTTCATTCTGCAGTAATAAGGGGAAGGTTAAGGAACAACATTTTGGGAAAATGTTATGAGTCAATTATTCAGTGGAAAGTTTGTTTGTTTGTTTGTACAAATTAAATCTACACTGTTCAGTTGTAAAAGATTTGATCTTCTGGACATATCTTTCTTCTTCCTTCTTTACCTCTCAACTCCGTTCATGGCAATTTTGTACAGATTTTTTTTCTGATTTGCGTGATAATTCCGAAGGATTATCACATTTTACTAAATTTCCTCTTAGGTATCCATCTTAATTACCCTGATATATCAAATTTAATTAAATTCGATCTTCCATAAATTCAGTTTAATCATGTCTCAACCATCTCTGAGTGGAAGTAATTCTTGACACTTCTAATTTAGTATTTACTTACTGCTGTTTCATCCACTGTAACAAAAGCATAAGCTCTAACTCGTGAAATGATACTTCAGATGTAACTTTAGTTAAATCCTTTCCTTCCACTAACATAGGCTTTCTCTTAGTCCATAAAAATCTAGCTATATGAAGATCCTCAATAAAAATATTACTATGAACCCTAGGCGAAAATCTAAGTTAGTTTTTTGACAATAAATGAAAGCAATTTGTTTATGTATCTCAGTTAAGAAAATCAATATCTTCATCAGAAGTTACAGATATTCAACCAAAAGATGTGAAAATAAACTTTGACAGATTCAGCAATAATTCAATAACTAATACTAAATCAAGACAAAGTTTGCTTATCAACTGTGCGCTCCATTTATGGCATATTTTCCAACAGTTCTCTTGTTGGCTGTCTCTAATCTTGTATTTAACTCACACACGCATACACACTCTCTCTCTCTCTACTAGAGCACTTCATCAAGATTGTCTAGGTAATCAAATATGTTGTGACCTTCTATAGCATGTTGATGTGAGAACAGAAAGGTGAATGATTTGTCCAAAAATTCAGACGGAAAAACTTGGATAGCATGAAAAACGTCCATATCTACATCCAAAGGAGACATTCAAAAAGAAAGGAATGTTCATCCACTATCACATGATGTTCGAGCAATTAGAGTCTATATGAAGTCTACTCAAAGACAAGCTATCAACATCCACATTGGGGCTAAAGCAACAATAATGAATTAAAAATAGCATCTGAAATGTGGACACAAGTGTATCATTTTATGGATCTTGCATGAATGCATAAAAATTTAACTTCAGAACCTGCAAACCATATATTCCCGCTTCCATTTCAGCCATTTAAAACATCACTAATTGCTTTGTCCTTTTCTTTGCCGTCAACTTCAGCATCCTAGGAAAGATGTAGTATTAACTAAAAATCTTTTTATAGCAAGAAGATGAATTAATATCATGGACTAATCATTTCCCAAAAATAATTACCTCAACATCAGATTCTGGGGCAACACTCCCTGTATCTGTTTCTCTAGGAGATGGCATTTTGTCACTAGGTTCATTTTGTACGCGTGGAACAATTGTTGAGGATAATGGGACATTAGGGGCTAAACAGTCAGTTACATCTTCAATGATAACTGTCAAATCGGACGCATTATTCTCAAATTGAATGTCTGAATGCTCTGATTTGATGAAGGAAGCATGTCCAAACTCAGTTACCTGACCAAATCTCACTGGGTCCTCCTCAAGGAGTGAAATCTTAGTTCCTGAAACAACATTACTGCCTGGTATCTGAGTTGATACGTGAGGAACCAGTGGTTCATTCTCATCCAAGTTTGTGATTGAACCAGATTCAACTCCTGCCAATTCTGTTAAATTTACAGTTCTCACATGCTCTGTTTCGCATCCGGTGATGTCTTGAGATGAAAGCACTCGTAACTAGGATAACCATCCCACCCCGTTTCACCACTCATTATTTTGTTTTCAGCATCCTGTTGATCTTTTTCAATCTTTGGGCTATTGATAACAAAATTGAGGTACAACAGAACCAAAGTTGTGATCATTAGGATGCTCTCTAGTAGTTTTTGCAGAATCACTGAGTATACTGGATGGGCATGCAGGATTTGTGCCCTGGTGACTTGTAACTTATGCAATGGATTCAAGTTTGCACAACTCTTAATTATGTTATGTTCCTCGGAATCAGCATGCAATTCAAGGCTGCCATTTTCATCACGAAATTTGCATCTTGATGGAAAGGAGCAGGTTTCTTGTCTATCCAGGTCAACATATCTTGTCTAGAGTAATATTCCTGAATGTGGTCCCCTGGCCAGAAAGTGGCCATATTCTCATTTTTAGCCAAATAATAGTTCTCATCAATCTTCTCTGGATTTTTTTGTTTTGATTTCTTTTGCAAAGCTTGATGGTGCTAGGGAGTGCGTTTTTTCCAGATAGTGGCGAGATCTTTCTTCACGTTGCAATTGGGAGTCAGACCTCACATGAAACATGCTATTTGGAGATCCAACTGGAGAAGAAATGACAATTTCAGACTGCAATCCGATTTCATTAGGGGTGTGCTTACCAAACTCCACATCACCTTGACCATATAGTGGAGATGAGACAAAATCATTACTGGGGATATGATTCTGAAAACACTCCATCAAGCGCTTGTTATGATATTGGTTATTCATTACTGGCAAAGGTTCTTGACTTTGATTATAGTAATGGTTTGTCGCCTCAACATGGGTGGGTACTTTCATAAGCTCTATGGTCCATGACAAATGGACTGTTTTTCTCATGAGCATCAGAGATTGCATCATCCTCGTACTGCTGCATCTGGAGGTTCATATGTTCTCTACGCTGCACTAGCACTGAAGACGGAGGAGGAGATTGACTATACGTCTTTGTTGCAGTGGGGGGGTATTAAAAAACTGAACGGCTGCATTTGAGTGCATCTGTCTTAAGTTTGGGGAGCTTCCTCCATCCCTAATATCTGTTGGATGAAAGGAAGTAGCTGATTCTCTTTGAAAAGTAGGACTATAATCTAAGCTTCCCATCTGGCTTGTTTGACTAGACACACTCCGCCCTCCAGTGCTCAACTGACAACTGGGTCCATCATGCCACAAACTGGAAAACTTACTGATATTGCTATCATTCTGTTGCATGGGCTGCAACTCGAAATGCCTGAGCTATCTGCTTCAGCTAAAGGTAAAAGAAAATATCCGTAACCTTTTACATCTTCTTTCAAGATCATAATATTCCTCTATCATATTATGAAGATCCTCATCAGAAGATACAGATATAAGTGCATCAAGATCCTCACCAGGGGAGCTGATACTTGATTACATGAGGTTGATTACAAATTGCCCATGTTTTCTTCAGAAGCTCACTGTAATTTAAGTTTCTCCTGATGGATATCTTCGTGTCTCTCCTCCAACGTATCTTAGCTTCCCATCATTTGGTCTGGATAATATTCTTCCACCGAAGCTGCATAGAAATTTCATATTTCCTGAAAAGGAACCATCTAAAAGGCCTGAACAATAACCATAAATGTCAGATGAATGCGGGGAGCCGGATACATGGAAAGGTGGCACGCTAGGACCAGGAGGGGTTTTATCATAATTAACCTCATCGGAGAAATTACTTAGCAGTTGGGCATTGGCGCTAATGCTCCTACAATGTCTACTTACCATATTAGAATGACCCTGTTGGTCAACTTCTTCTGCATAAAATTTCTCAGGAACATTACCTAAAACATCTATTCCACTTTTGGAATCTCTTTTTCTTATGCCAAGAAGGCTAGCATGATCCTCGTAACCAAGCTGATTGTTTTGTTTGAAGTTAAAGCCCATTCTCTTCACTGTTTCTGATCCAAGTCGGTGATTTTGGGTATTCTCCTTGGTATGGCACGGACTCTAAGGAACTCGGGGGAAAAATTCTCACCTGTCTGTACAGATATGTTACGCAGATCTTTTATCTGCAAAATATTCATCAACTGATACAACCTTACCCAAATCATCTCTGCCCTTTTGAGCTGAAGTGCCAGGAACTTCACCAGTCATGGTCTCAAATAAAGAAAAAATCTTTTAATTTGACAAAAAAATTTCACATGTCATGGTTTTCAAGTGAACCAATATCTTTTAACTGTGCAGTTCTGTGACAATCGACGTATTAAATCTATCTATAAACTATAGCTAATTAAGAATAATCCAGAACAACAATTGCCACATTTGTGCATAATTTTCTGATCATTTTCTTGCTTTCCCCTTGATAATAATCTCAAGGACTTTTAAATTAATTATGATCCCGTTGAATTGCGCGTTATCCTCATGTTCTTCGATCAAATTAATTTCTGTTTCTTGACCTTCCATCACTTCAACTGTGCCAAAAACAATGGAGCCAAAACCGAAATGAGGCCACCAGAATGCCCGAAACACCACCCCAAGAATTCTCGATGAAGATTTTGAAATTGAATTGCTGAAACAATCAAATAAATAAATGAAAAAATGTGCTAAAAAACCAATTGGAAACAAGGCGGTC